TTGGTAATAGTATTCTAATTGCAATGCTGTAAAATTAACTTTAGAGAATAAGCACATGAATAATTTAATATTTAAATAGGAATTTAGAAATTTTTTCCCATAGATCTCCAGTACTATATACTACAAACTGTATGAAATTTTGTGTTAAATCTGGCTTCATTAGATTCATTAAATTAATAATTATTTAATGATCCTGGGAAAAGAGTGTAGGTAACAAATTAATACTGTGCTGTCTTAGAAAATGCTTAACTTTTTTAAAGGATAAAATTACATCATTTTTAGCTTTTCAATAGAATAATTTTTATTCAATGAGTATATTGATTGTAAGTGAATCTTATACATTTAAAGCAACTTCAGTGGTTATTCATTTAACAGTACTTTTCCAATTTTCTCGAGATAATACATGTACTAAAATAACAGAACTGTATTTTCTGAATGTTCTCTAATTTAGATATTTAAGTTTTACTGAGATATAATTTCACGCACCATGGAGTTCACCCATTTAAAGTGCACAACTTAAATGGCTTTTAGTAGAGTCACAGACTTGTGTAACCATCCTTGCAATCAAACAATTTTAGTACTTTTTTGTCACCCCCAAATAAAACCATATGCAGTACCCATTAGTGGTTGCTCATTATCCTTCCCTGCTTTCAGCTACAGACCTAGGAAATCTTTAATTTACTTTTTATATTTGGTAAACATTAATGTTGTAAATAAATAAAACTTACTTTAAATTTTGCCTCATACAAAGAATCGTTAATGAGATATACTCAGAATGAAAGCAAAAAAATGACCTTGAATATTTACACATTTTGATACAAAAAAAATTTCCTTTTAATATTATGGGTTCCGAGTTTATCAGATGCCTCAACTTCTGTTGTGAGATTGTGCTTAATTTAAAATATTATGACATACAGAAGAGTCAACTAAAGGCAATGACTTAAAACTTATTAACCATAAAATGCTACTTTGGAGAATATTACATAGAACTTTATTAAAATATTAAAATAGACCAGATTTGAAGAAACACATTTCCCCATAAATATCATTCAGGACATAGGTAAGGGCAAAGACTTCATGATTTAAACACCAAAAGCAATGGCAACAAAAGCCAAAATTGGCAAATGGGATCTAATTAAACTAAAGAACTTCTGTATAGCAAAAGAAACTATCATCAGAGTGAACAGGAAACCTACAGAATGGGAAAAATTTTTGCAATCTATCCATCTGACAAAGGACTAATACCCAGAATCTACAAAGAACTTAAACAAATTTACAAGAAGAAAACAAACAACACCATCAAAAAGTGGGTGAAGATGTAGACACTTCCCAAAAAAAGACTTTTATGCAGCCAACAAACATATGAAAAAAAGCTCATCATCACTGGTCATTAGAGAAATGCAAATCAAAACCACAATGAGATACCATCTCACACCAGTTAGAATGGCGATTGTTAAAAAGTCACGAAACAACAGATGCTGGAGAGGATGTGGAGAAATAGGAATGCTTTTACACTGTTGATGGAAATGTAAATTAGTTCAACCATTGTGGAAGATGGTGTGGCAATTCCTTGAGGATCTAGAACTAGAAATACCATTTGACCCAGCAATCCCATTACTGGGTGTATACCCAAAAGATTATAAGTCATTCTACTATAAAGACATATGCACACATATGTTTATTGTGGCACTGTTCACAATAGCAAAGACGTTGAACCAACCCAAATGCCCATCAATGAGAACTGGATAAAGAAAATGTGACACATATACACCATGGAACACTATGCAGCCATAAAAAAGGATGAGTTCATGTCCTTTGCAGGGACATGGATGAAGCTGGAAACCATCATTCTCAGCAAACTATCACAAGGACAGAAAACCAAACACCGCATGTTCTCACTCATAAGTGGGAGCTGAACAATGAGAACACGTGGACACAGGGAGGGGAACATCACACAAAGGGGCCTATTGAGGGGTGGGGGGCTAGGGGAGGGATAGCATTAGGAGAAATACTTACTGTAGATGACAGGTTGATGGGTACAGCAAACCACCATGGCACACGTACACCTATGTAACAAATCGGCACATTCTGCACATATATCCTAGAACCTAAAGTACAATTAAAAAAAATGTTCTTGGCATTATCTCATTTATACATATCCTTTTCATTCTAAAAATACTACATTACAAAATTTTAATTACTACAGATTATCTTCTTTTTATTTAAACAAATCATGATTAATGTGTAAAATGTTTCTTATAATCATTAGTTTCCTGAGAAGAGAAATCTGTCTGGTGATTCATAGAAACACAAACACTTAAGTATATAGTATTAAGTATAATAAGTACTTAATACATGGGTATTGAATAAATGAATTAAATATAAAATAAGTCTTAATTTTTTTCTGAGGTAACCTCTCTAGATACGGCATAGGATCCCAGGACCTGTAAGAGTAACTGGTGAAAAGGGAAATAAAACGCTAGTCTGCTGATTTTCCTGGGAGACCTGCAGTTATTGGGATGTGTTCTGTGAGCTTCTGTCATCTAAACCCAAGACCCTGTGAATCCCAATAAGACCAAGTGTCTGTCACATTCTTACCCCATGGGTACTTCTCAGCTACATGTGTGTTCAGTCCTATTCACGTTCTCCCAGGAAAAGAAAAGGACAAGGAAATACAAAGCTCACACTTTGATCTAATCTCCATTTTATCTCTTGTACATAACAAATTATATTCATTTCTGAATTATTCATTCTTTTATGTTATTTACTCAACAATTTACAAAACAAATGCTGATTATCATTGGAAAGATTGTGTAAAGTATCTATTCTGTACATCACGCCTGATAGTGAATTCTTTTTTTTCTTAGCAAATGCCATATTTTCACTTCAGCAAACCTGTGTAACAATGACCATGCAGGCCAGTGCTGAGAAATCATAAAAAATTAAAAGCCTTTGACTGGCAACCGATCAATTATTTCAACAATTTTCTTTTACTTGTAAGAATGCAAGCAATCTTAGGCACGAGTTACTATTTTTACAGTCCTAGTTGTAATAAGCTTCTTTCAATTCTAGGCTCAATTAAGAAATTAAAATTATACAGAAAGGAACAAGTAAAACAACAGAGCTTACTTCACCGCAGTCATGAACGAATAACATTTTCCCCCTCATGATATAGATATGCTGTGGGTGAGAAAACTAAATTTCCTCTGCATTAAAAAGAAGATTGAGAAAGTAAAATATGGAAGGGATTTTTTTTTGGAAGAAAGGACCTTAGAGATGTAATCTAGTGATTACTCAACTGCTTTTATTCTGCAGATGAGGAAATTTAAACTCAGAAACATTCATTTCACAAGAACATACATGAGAAATCAGGCTATAAATCTGAAAACAGCTTACAGTAACAATTAACTATCTGCAACACATCCACCAAAAAGAAAAATATGCAAAAAATAACCACTTGCTAAACATATGCCACAAACCTATGGTCAAAAGATAAAGAACTCTATTCAAGCACTGCCAATCTTTCTTGTTCCAGAATTACTACCAAACCCAAAGGGGTTCGAGTTCATCAGTGATTAGAAATAGAGATTAGAGGCTGGGCGCAGTGGCTCACACCTGTAATCCCAGCACTTTGGGAGACCGAGGCAGGTGGATCACCCGAGGTCAGGAGTTCGAGACCAGCCTGGCCAACATGGTGAAACCCCATCTCTAGTAAAAAAAAAAAAAAAAAATACTGAAAATTAGTTGGGTGTAGTGGCAGGCACCTGTAATCCCAGCTACTCAGGACGATGAAATAGGAGAATCGCTTGAACCTGTGAGGCGGAGGTTGCAGTGAGCCGAGATCTCGCCACTGCACTTCAGCCTGGGCAACAAGAGCAAAACTCCGTCTCAAAAAAAAAAAAAAGGTAAAATAAAAATAAAAATTAAAAAAAAAAAAAAGGTTAGAATTGAGGATGAAGGCTTCTAGTTTGTCCTCAGCAGCAAGTGATAGATGTTCTGTAAAGGAAAATAAAATGACTTTTTACCCTTCATTGACCAGTTTTTAACACCATGCCAAATTGGCTTTATTTTGTTCTCTCTCTCAGTCATACACACATACATACACAGTTATTATTTTTATGGGAACCATTTGAGAGTAGATCACGTATACCATGCTCCTTTACCTATTAATAGTTTAGTATATATTTCCTAAGAACAAGGATATTCTCTTACATAACCACTGTACAGTTAGCAAATTCAGGAAAGCTAACACTTTGATCTAATCTCCATTTTATCCCTTGCACATAACTAATTATATTCGTTTCTGTTTTATTCTTTCTTGATTGTTTTTGAAAACATAAGCAGATAGATATATTGTCTTACTTCCCTACATAGTATTGTTTTATACAATAAGTCCATTAAAAAAACCCTGCAAAGTCAAATGATGTAAAAATATTTTTGTACATTTTGAAATATTTTTATACTTTCCTATATGTTCTGGCCTTCCTTCTTTCCCAACTGTTTTAAACCTCTTAGCACAAACCAAACCTAATTTTCCCAGGAAATGGTGCTTTTAAGCAATGAGGAATCTATGAGAGCTTCCAAACCGGGAATTAATATGATCAAATCCAAGATTTAGAAAGCAGACTGTGGCAGTGTATGAAAGAGGCAATAAAACAGGAGACAGTAGATGCTATGAGACTCAATTATGAAGTTATGGTAATTTTTCAGGTAAGAGATGTTGAAAGTTTGAATTAGGGTCATAGTAGGAGGAGTAAAAAGCGGAAAAAGATGACCATCATCTGAATTTGGAGAATGAAGAAGAGCAAGAAAGTGAAGATGCTGGAAGGATATTGTTATCATCTGAACTAGGAAATGGAAGGTATAGATTAGGGAGAAATATTAATGGTTTGGTTGTAAATCTATTGAGTTTCAGGTATTGGTATCATATCCACGTAGAGAGGTTTAGAGCACAATGTAATAACGTAAAGCAATACAGAGAAAAAACAGGGTGCTGTACAGACTGGATGCTGAGGAAATGATTTGCTTGATAATTTATTTGCATTATTTTCATGCAGAACCATCTTCTCCTCTCTGGACCTGCACAGCTAGGACTGCAGTGAACAAAGGAAGATGCTCCTTCATGGTTAAACCAGTAGGTGAGGCTGATGTATGATGGTCTTGGTTATATATTCTACATAGTTGTACAGAACTACTTAAAAATCTAGTCTTTATAAAAGTAATGATACACCAAAGGCATTTTATAATAATGCATGTGGTGTCTGTAAGAACTCTGAATATTGGGTGTTTTTTTGAAAAATGTTCTTCTTGTAAGTTCTGAATGACATCTGAGGATATAATATGTGGGCATGAACACAGTTCAATATCCAACTCCCACCCTTGTTCCTGGAGAAACACACACACACACACAATGGTTTTCTGGAAAGATGTCAAATCTCTGTTGTTGTTAACAGTTTTTCCATGGAGAATAGATTTTAATTTTTTCTACATATAGTTTCCTGTTATGCCAGGAGAGGAAATGTTTTCTCTTGTTTCTAGCAAACAGACATGCATGGACAATGGGAAACCATGTTCGGAAGGGAGGAGGGAACCTTGCTCCCTGGCAGAGAGGACAGCTCATATAAGAATCCTCAGTCCCCCGATTTTGATACCCCTTTCTTCCTCTATGGCCACTTTTAGCGACGTGATTGCAGTGTTCATGTCTGGTCAACACCTACAATGGCTGGCTGTGAATACCTAAGAAGAATCACAGCACCAGATGTGGCAGAAGGAAGAAGATATTGAATTAGAAATAGTGATGATAATCTCCCGTTTCAAGTACATTGATGAAGATAAAGCACATTCTTATGAGAGCCCTGGTATCTTCCCTTTGGCCAGTAGAAGGAGTGGAGTTGGTAGAACCTGAGACCCAGGAAGGCCTGTGCCCATCTGGCCATCCTGACACCAGTTCAGATCTCTTGCCTTTAACACCTCTTTGCCATTTTTCCTCTCACCTTATAGCCTGATTTAGACTCTATTGATGACCAGCTGTGATGCACCAGCATAGTTCATTATGATTACAGTATTTGTTTTCATGTTTACACTAATGCAACCATTATTTCAGCACAATGTCTTTCCATTATCTTTCTTCTCACCTAAGAAGGGCTTATTATTTTCTGGACTCACAGGAGTAACAGAAGCTTTATGTGTAGCAAGACAAAGCATCTTAACTGTGACATGGGAACCTTGATTATATCCATTAATATATGTCTTGTCATTGTATATGTGTGTCCATACATTTTTATGATTTTATTTCCATTGGACTGGACTAATTCCTGTTCTTGAACATGCTTTGGGCATTCCTACATCTCTGCCTTCTTTCATGCATTCATTCCACATCATCTTCACACTTCCCCATGGTAAATGCCCCAACTCCTTCCATCTATCTGCATGTTTTGGAGTAGTTGGGTGGTTTATTTTTTATTTTTTATATTTTTTCTTAGAGTCCAGTTCTTGCTTGTCACCCAGGCTGGAGTGCAGTGGCATGATCATAGCTCACTACAGCCTCGACTTTCTGAGCTCAAGAGATCCTATCGCCTCAGCCTCCTCTGTAGCCAGGACTGTGGGCATTCACCACCATTCCGGCTGATATTTTTATTTTTTGTACAGATGGGGTCTTGCTGTGTTGCCCAGGATGGTCTTGAATTCCTGGCCTCAAGCACTCCTCCCACCTTAACCTCCCAAGTGCTTACAAATGTGAGCCACCATGACTGACCTATATGCATTTTTTAAAAAAATTCAAGATTTAACTGAAATATATTTTGCTATGACTCCCCTCCCCTTTTCATCAGTGTCATCTTTTGTTACTTAGAAATTGTGTATACAGTCTGCTATTTATTTGACAACTATACTGCTGTATACTCTTAGTTTTATTTTTCTATGTTTAAGCATTAACTTTTAAAGTAAATGTCATCAATAGAATAATGACCAAACTCTTGGACTTTGGAAATAGATTTAGTATTGAATCCTGGCTCTTCTGCTTCGTAACTGTACAATCTCGAAGTCACTTAATAATTTCGAAGCTTCAGTTTCCTCATGTGTAACACAATCGTGGGAACCATAAGGTTGTCATGAGGATTAAATAAGATAATATATGTAAATGATTTAGGACAGTGATTAAGAATTAGACCTAATATTTGCTCAAAACTATTTTTTCTGATCTTCTAAAGAAATTGCTATGTTCATAAATTCATCAATCAAATGGTGCTAGAGTGTTTGGCACAGAATATACTAGATAAGACTATTTCAAAGTAAAAAACCCTTTTCATGAAAGACTGACAATTACATTCATAAACATCATTCTCTCTTTTAGCACTATCCTAGCTCCTTCCTAATTGTTAGGAATAAATCCTGAGACAATTGCAAACTGCCTTGCCTTTTTTCAGGACTCAGTAAATCAGGTTGGATGGCATATACACATAAATGCCATTCCCCTTTGCTGAAAAATAGCCAGTAGGAGCTGAAAATAAGTTTGACTTTTCTCCCACTATAGAGTTGAAGCCCAAATTGAAGAAAAAATAAGTAGGGCCTTCTCATTACATATGTTTTTGGAGAATCCAGGGAACTGTCTATAGCTCTCTTTAGAGTATATAGAAGCAGGGGCAACAGAACTCTGTTTGTCTCCCAATTTACTGTTTGGGACCATTCTCATTCTTTCCAGCCTTATTTTAAGAGTCAGGCCCTATTTTCTCTTTCCCTAGAGTTGCTATTAGATAAAACACCTGAAAAGACCTCTTCTTGCCTATGTTTTCCTTATTTTCACTCCTGGTCTTTAAAGCTGTGTCCCAATCCAGCTCTTCTGAATTGAGCATTCTCCCCAACTTTGGAAGGTACCTCAATTTGAAGTGTTTCAATTCGCATTCACATTTATAATGTGAATCATGATGTGTACACTTTGACTATTAATTGTTGTGGGGTTTAGTAAACTGTACATCCAATAAGAAATGAAGGACATTTGGGCTCTAAGTTCCATCATTAGCTATTTTCTGATTTTGTATGCATCGTTTAATACCTGGGACCCCATGTCTTTATCTGCAAAATGTATGTATTACTACTTATTCTACTTCAGAAAAATTTTACAAACAAATTGTGTCAATAATGATGAAGATATTTGGAAATATTATGCTATGTAAATACAATTAAAATTTCCACTGCTAATCAATCATTTTGCCCTAGTCTAGAATAGATAGATTCCTGAATAAAATGTACTGGGCCATAGAATTATTCCTATAGTTGATATTTTCAAAAATATCAACTGATTAATATCTCAAAAATATTAATCAACATATGAGTTATTTAAATTCCTCTCATTGTATCCTTTAACCATTTGAATGGGGTTTTTAGTCACATAGAGCGTAGAGAAAACATTCATAACTGCATAATAAGAACAAAGGAGATTGCTATTTGTTATAAACAGGGAAAGTACCAGGAAGAGGGAACGGGAAGAGTAAAATAAAACTAACACGTGTTTGTGTCTGTTAGGTACCATTTACAATCTAGGCAATTTCTGTGTATTCCACATAATCTCAAAAGAGAACAGAATTAAACGACATTAAGAAGAACATTCAAAACACAGAATGTGGACACTGAGGTTTCGTTCATTTACTTGATATATTTTTTTTTTCTAGGGCTGTAAAAACAAATGAAATAAAGATAGATTTAAGGTTGTTGCTCATTCATGACACTTAGTCACTGTATGTTTTCCAAAAAACTAAAGAGGTTGTAAAAGAGGGAAAACAGAAAAATGTGTTGAATTTCCTTCAGCTGTTACTAGTCCTTTTAATTTAAGCATGCTCTCTTTATTTTTATTTTTTGTGTGTGACTTTTTTTACTCTAATGTTTTCTATCATGCTCTCTTTAAATATTCAATCACTCATTTATTCATTCAAGAATGCAACAATTTAGTTTATTAATTGAATTTTATATAATTAAATCCAATTCCATAATTTATTTAGCACATATTTCTTTAACCATGAAAGTTTCGCTTTTCCTCTAATTCCCTTCAGTTATTTTTATCATACATTTACCCCTCATGATATGATATTTTAAAAACAGAACTGAAATGTTGTAGAATATTTGCTCTAACCATATGGTGTTCTTTGTGAAATCTTCACAATAGATCAGAAAATAAATTGTGAAATGAAAAAGTAAATTTATTCACCCACCACTTATAACTGATGTATATCTGAAAGGAGAGGAAGATTAATGCATAAGAATAAAACATAAAACAAACAATGTCAGAATATCAGATGGGTGCTTTTGCCCCCATGAATCAAGGGCATCTCAGTTACAGAAGGCACACTGCTAATAAGATTTGGAGTTTTGGAATAATTTTGCTCTTGTAGGGGCCAAGGGAAAAACTTCCCCTTCACCCTCTGAAAGGTCACTGAAAAATCAACTCACAAAAGGCAAATTAATAAGAGAAATGGCATACAAACTTATTAGCATGCACAAAGGAGGATCATCGAGTAATTAGCCACCACACAATGGGGGTCCAGATGGTTATATACCTTTCTAGTTAGGGGACATAGAGATGCGAATGTATGGATTCTTTTAGGGAGCTAGTAAATTATTTTTAGGGGAATTCGACGGGCTTGAACAACATACAGTGGCCTGGGATAAAGTCTGTTGAACTTTCAGCGCAGACAATGGTTTGTGACAAAAGTCTGTTCAGATTTGTTGACAGATTTCCATTTTTCTTCCTCCAGTAAGTTCAGTTAATAAAAATTCAGGGAAGGGACCAGAGGTAACTGTGTTTGTCTTTGGTAGGTCCAAACTTTAGGCAGATCAGGGAATTTCAGAGAACAACTTCGCCCTGTGCTTTGGGAGAGACAGAGGATTGGGAGAGTGGTTGGAGGTGGGGGTCATCAGAGAGACCCTGAAGCTTCTTCAGTTATGATGTCAAAGCACCAGATTTTGGGGTATTGGTTTCTGAGCCCAACACTCCTCAGAAGATCTGTCAAATAGATTAATCAAGTAGCTAAACCTATCAAATAGATTAGAGTAGGCAAACTACCATACACCAGTAGGCCAATGTAGCCTGCCTCCTGTTTTTCCAGATAAAATTTCACTGGAGTCCAACCATGCCTATTGGTCCACC